TCACCTCTCCAGCAATTCAGGCCTTCATTCAGTAACTAGCTAACAACAGAAGCTTCATAGGTGAAATACAACTAATTAAGCTGTTGTATTATAGACAAGAAAGAATAGTCAGAAAAGTGTCTCTAGCATTGTTGGGAATTTCAATTCAGCAAGAGTCCCTTTTAGAGAATGTGGTTCTAAGCATATGCAAGTCACTAAGTAACACAAGATCCCATTAAGAAAATTGCTGTTTCTGGAGAGCCTGTTTGATGTAGTGGTGAAAGCACCAGGCTAAACATTTGTGACTTCTAGTTCTGCCTTAGACACAAGATATTGCTCTTCTGGGCAAGCGTCCACACTTATTGGATATAAAAAAAAAACCTAAGGAAATAGAATCCTTCACCCTTCCTGCTCTTCTCCAATTCATTGCACCTGCCATTACTTTTACTTTCCCCCAAGAACAGACTTCCTGTGGGGACCCAAAGTCACTGGTCTCTTTTTGGCTACAGGGGCAGCAGTTTTCAAAGCCTCATGGCTTTCCTCTTAAGGACATTGCTTAGTGCAAAGAACTCTTTGGCAACTTGTGAGACTTATTGACCTTATTCCTCAGCAAGGTTGAAAGATTAGATGAGCTTAATGGAAAATCTCTTTATATCTCTGCAGTTAATTACTCTGCTTCAAGCATCCCTCCTCTGATTAGTGAAGGGACGATAAAAGTTTAGACCTTCTGCTCTTTTGGCAGTAGAGAAGCTGCTGAAACACAAGGTAATGTCATAAGCACCAGACCATATGGAGGCATCTCTCTCCAGCATTCTCCAGTAATCTTGCTCATTTCTAGGGGAAAAATACTGAGGTCTGATAAACTTCCAGCATGAGAACCTCAAATGTAGGACCTTGTTCATTATGACTGTTATGTCTCAGCCTGCATCAACCCTTTGAACTAGGCCAAATCAGGAAACAGATTCTAGAATTCTCGCTGGAAATTTTACTTTATTGAAATAGGCTACACTTACAGACTTTTAAAAGCCTGCTGGAGCGGAGTTGGCTGAATTTTTCTCCAATATCTTTGAGGAGTCCTGGAGAACAAATAAAGCTCTAGGGAATTTGAGGTGCCAAATACTGTCTCTATCTTAAAAAGAGAGAAAAGGAAGATCAAAAGAAACAGAGGCCAGTTACTCTGACACTGATACATAAAAAATTTGCAGCGAATCATAAAAATAATCTATAAACACTCTGAAAACAATGTATTACTCCCCAGATGATAGCATACATTTTTCAAAAATAAGGCAACTACTAACATTAATTTTATGATTAACTTTCTTAATAAATTGTGGGAATGCTGTAAATGCAACATAATTTGATTTCATCAAAGCATTTAATAAAATGATTATGTTATCAAGTTAGCATTGATGCTTAATGACCACCTTCTTTTCTCCAGGATGATCTGTCCCCAGACTAGTTTTTCAGATCTTCCAACAGACATGCAATATTGCTGTAATTGAGTCCATCCACCTTGCTAGTTTGTTTTTTCTGCTCTTTTCTTTCACCTTTCCCAGAAGAGTGGACTTATTGAGAGATCTAGTTCTTTGCATATGTGTCCAAAGTATAATAATTGACCTTGGTCATCTGTACCTACCTGAGTGAGAACCCTGATTGATTTGTTCAATTATTGTTTTCTTGGCTATCCATGACCTTCTCAGAAGTCTTCTGTAGCACCACAGTCCAAAAGCATCAATACTTTTTCTATCCCATTTCTTAAAAATCTACTTTCACTTCCATAGTGCATCACAAGAAAACCATTGCCTGAACATTTGATAAAATACCCTGACCTATTAATAAACCAGTTAAGTATAGGGTGGATGGCATGATAATAAAGTGGACATATATGAACCTGAATAACCAAAGACCTACAGATAGATAGATAGATAGATAGATAGATAGATAGATAGATAGATAGATAGATAGATAGATAGATAGATAGCTTAACATTTGTTCAAAGGGTACTGATTAAATGGAGAGATATATCAACTGGGATATCACAGCATTAATTTCTGGGACTGTAAAAAATGTTTTCCCTAGCTTAGAGAAAAGGGCTGAAAATACTAAATAACATTAACAGAAGCAAACATAAAAATCTTCACTTAGGAAACAGATCAAATACAGAGTGAAAGTAGGAATGCTTAGCTTTGCAATATTACAGTGAAAAGCATCTTGGAACAATAGTTTATTCAAACAATATAATTGAACAATGTATTATGGCTTCAAAAATGAGTTTCTCTGCAAATCATGGGAAGTAATAGTTACAATTTATTTCAAGGTCGTAAGGCCCCCATGAATATTATGTCTAGTTTTTTATTCCATACTAACAGATTTACTGATAGGCCACAAGGATCACTTGAGATAGAAACTAATCATAAGAAGAAAGATCGAAGGATCTGGTCATGTTTAGCCTAGAGAAGAATAAAGGGTGATGTAATAGCAAATACCCAAAATGATATCATACAGAAATGAAATCAAGATAACCGTATGCATAACACAGAATAAAGAACAGATTTCAATTTAATATTAGTAAAAGGTTTCAACACTGATGTCTAAAAGTGGCGATGAAGTTGTCTTCACTAGATGTGTCCATGTAGAACCTAGACAATCATCTGTTGGATAGGCGTTTTAATTTGAATGTCTACAGTGAAGTTGGTCTCAATGGCCTAAATCAATCCTTCCAACACAATGATTCTTAAATTGTAAGTCTCCCAGAGTTGCCCTGTGGTGAGATAGCTAGTTTCAACTCTACACACGTGGATTTGGTTGTTCATGCCTGGCAAGGACCTTGGGAGGCAGTTTAAAAGTACGTATGGTACTCCTTGCACTCCCTAAATATGGACACCTCCCAAAACTTTTTGTGAGGATTTAGAGACAAATTAAGTCTGACCAATATTATATTACATCAATCTCTGTTTTGTGTTTTAGGGGACTAACATTAAGTAATGTTATAAAAAGTTTGATTATTCCGCAATTGCCCTTGATCAGGGGATAGCAAGCCAAAAATAAGTTTGTCACCCTGATCTAAAAATAATGATAAACAGTTATAAATATCAATTAAACTGGAGTGTGTTTTAAAAAGACAAGACAAATGGTTCAGTCCCAAAATTTGTTGCCTCAGCAGTGGCGCATCATAGAATTATTGTAATATTGCAAAGTGATGTTCTGTTTTATATATACTTGCCACATTTTTTCGTCACCTTTATCCAAACCAATTGTGGAGAAGTCTACAGGAGACTAAAAAAGAACTTTCCACAATCATAGCATTGAATGCTTTCTTTATGACTTCATGCCCCCTTTATGTGCTTTTCTGTTTAGCTCTTCTTGGGCATTTTAAGTACATGTATAATCCAAGTAACATTAAGTGCTTTAAAGGTAAAGTTAGATGTCAGTCTGGTGAAACTAACTCAGTGCTATGAGTATGTGCTCAAGTCTATGTTCAAGTCCACTTAATGCAGTACAATGTTTGTAGTACAATATTTTAGCCTGGCATATTTCTTGCTGTTTGTGGTCATGCAAGCTTGGGCAAGTGGATGATTGGAATAAACAATGGTTATGTTTACCGATTAGCATGTAAAAACCTCCAGGTTATCAGATATACGTGATGGCAGGAACGGAGCCCAAAATATTTTGTAGGGAAATTGTATGAGCTGAGAATACAGAATAGTCTTTGCTCCAGTCTTCTAATATTTCAGCAGCTTAGATCTATTGGAGACTGTTTATACAGGAGTCATCTTGCTCTAACTACTCCCAAATCCACTCCATTTAGGAGACTCCTCTGAAGCAGAGTTGAGGGCAATTAAAGGAAAGTTCACTTGCACAGCAAAAGAGTACAGAGAAGAGCAGTAGATGATTAGGGAACTGGAGGCTGAAGCATATAAAGAATTGTTGCAGAAATTGGGTATCTCTTGTTTAATGAAAAGAAGGAGTAGAGGTGACATGATAGCAGTGTTCCAAATCTAAGGGACTGCCATAGAGAAGAGGGGGTCAACCTATTTTCCAAAGCACCAGAAGGCAAGACAAGAAGCAATGGATGGAAACTAACCAAGAGGAGAAGCAACCTAGGACTAAGGAGAAATTTCCTGACAGAACAATTAATCAGTGGAATGACTTGCCTCCAGACGTTGCGAATGCTCCAACACTGGAGGTTTTAAAGAAGAGATTGGACAACCATTTGTCTGAAATGATATAAGACCTCCAAGCTTCCTTCCAACTCTGTTATTCTGTTATGATGTTGGATGCAGTCCAATGAAAAGCCAAACTTCTCTTCTGACCAACTGTTTTAAATACTTAATGTTCTTTGGGCTCTCATATGACTTATTTCATCATTAAACTGTTAAAAACTAAATCAGGGCAATATTACAGTCCATCTTCATTCACTGGTGAGACAAGTTAGCCAGCCTGTATTTGTGTAATTGACATAATAGGGCAGGACTATGCTATGCCAAGACATGCCAGGAGAAAAGAAAGCAGAACACGGTGGTTGACATAAGACAGCCAAATAACGATACTCTTTGGCACATATTTGTAGGAAAATTGATGTTTTTTATTGGGAAAATACAATTTGATGCAGTACCAAATAGCATATCGGGATAATGCATGTTAGGAACATGTCAGAAGTACTGTAAATTGCAGCTTTGCAGGAATCATCCCATCAGGTTAGAGTGATTCATCGAGTAACTGTAAACAACTTTGGGTAGTTCTCCTACCTTGCATATTTTTAGGAATGGTGCATTAAGTTTTCATTCCATGATGCATGATCCCGTGCCTCTATGTGGCACCTGGACAAGTGGCCAAGGTTGTGTACTTAATTGGGACAATGTAAGTGCCAAGAGGCATATATCCCTTTCAGTTGCCTCCTCTGTAAGATGTGGGGTTTTCGAAAACTATTGTATTACAAATATTTTAAGATATGTAAATAATTTTGTATGGGTACAATGATATTAGCCAACCACTTGTTTGCTTGTTTTATTTTAACCCAGCATTAATGTATGCAAGCATTTTTGGAAATGTATCCGCAATAATCCAAAGATTATATTCTGGAACGGCACGGTATCACATGCAGATGCTACGCGTGAAAGAGTTCATTCGCTTTCATCAGATTCCCAACCCACTGAGGCAGCGGCTCGAAGAATATTTCCAGCATGCATGGACGTACACCAATGGCATTGACATGAACATGGTATGTACATTTGCTTTTAGCAATTAATGCACACAAACATATACATATGTGTTTAGCAACTAATGCACACAAACATATACCCAAATGGATAAGGAAGGGAACCACACCAACTGCTAGTAGAAAGCTTTATTTCTAAATCTAACCACCCTTAATTCTTTGTTAATATTGTTTTCTATTGTTTTATGTTCTCTTAGCCCCTCCTCACAAGTTGTATTGGGAGATGGCCGGCCATATACATAGTTTTAATAAATAAATATCAAAACACTGTAGTATAATGCTTTGGAAAATGGCCAGTTTTAACTGTAAGAAGTAACCTGTACCACTTCAAATGTCAGTTGTATACAACATCTCTTGATAAAGATTGCATGAGCAATTATTGTAGAATTGCTTACAAATCAAGCCTTGTACATAAAATGGTAACTGCAGTTTTTTTGCTGAAAGAAACATAACCATACACCGTAAGCATCAAAATGTGTTCCATGGATGATGGACATACCATATGACTATCCATATGCCTTAAGGGAGATGCTTAAAGATCAAAATATACCATATAATTTGTAATTACATATGTCCTTTTCTTTTTTTCAATGGAAAAGCAAACTCAAAAGCAGCTGTTGAAAGAAGAATCCCAAAGTGAGAAGTTAATTCTTTCTTTTTGTTCATTCAGGAACACAATGTGCACTCAGCTGTTTTTCCAAAGTATCCGCTAGGAGTGTATAAATACACAAAAATATACACATGTTATTTTAATTTTAAAAAACAGGCAGAAAAATATCTAACATGCTCCAATGTTCTTATGCTTTCAACTGTCACGTTCAAGGATTCTGTTCAGTAAAATCAAATATTCCACCGAGCAGAGGATGTTCATAAAATATATAGTTTAATAATAAATTAACCTGTTTTAAATCTGATCCAAATGCCAAGTACTAAAGGATTTCGCTGCAGTAAAATCGATCCATCCAGTCAAGATTTGGATCCATCAAAATGATATAAAATAGTTAGCAATAAAAGGAGAATATTTGTAGCTCAGGGATAAAATGAGAGGTCCTTGGTGCTCTCTGAGCTTGTAATCTAGCACCGATAATGTTATCTAGTTTGGGTCTGCAAGAAAACAGCTAAGCTCAGAGAGCACCAAGGATCCCTGATAAAACAGTTGCATTCTAGTTTAAATAAAATAAATAAATAAATAGTTGAGGGAAGCCATGCCCATATTTTTCACAAAACAAAGCCATTTGTTACTTTTTTTTTTTTACAACAACCATTTCTGAAATTGAGGCAGGTTTCCAAAGCTGTTTGCCATACAGCTTCCAAACCCCATCAGACAAACTTTAATTCCTGTGTTGAAAATTGCATTTCAAACTGCAACTAATACATTGATCTTGATACAGAATAATGGCTCACATGTATTTTAATGGCCCTGGTCTCGCCTTTGATCTAATAATCTGCTATGATCAAAAGCCACCATTTCCCTCATTGTGGGAATGCAGGCTCACAGTTCGCTTTCTCCAAGAAAAGCCCAATCTCCTACAAGACCTTGCACCATTAAGAGTACAGGACTGACTCCTGCCATTGAAGCTATAAAAACACTGCAACAAAAATCGGTTTAAGCAAGACCGCGTGGAAGATATTGCAGTTGTATGTTATCGTGAACCATAAACAGAAATAGCTTCATGGAACTCTTGGAACTGCTCAGTACTTCAGATTTGATTCCAAAAGGTTCTTTAGAAGTCCCAGGAGCATACAATAAGCGTAACAGTTGTCTGCAAGCTTTCAAAGCAACAGCATATATTTCTTGGGACTGCACAGGAAGCGCAAAAGGCTGATGTGCAATCCTGAGTCACTGCAAGATTAAGGAGCTACCCAGAGGTGCTGTTTTTTTCAGCGGCACCTTCTGGGAATCAGAACCAAAATACTGCACAGCCAACATCTTCCTCCTAAACTTACCACCTAAAAACAGCCTGCATGTCTGTCTGCAGGTACCATTCAAGGAAATAAAATATTTTAGAAGATGGGCCAGTAAACTGAAAGAAAAAAAAAACTTGAATTCAGCAGCAGATATACAAATTACTTTGAGGGAGGTGTTGTGTTTCATTCACTATGCTTGATTTTTGAATCCCTAACGCAGCTAATGGAACGGCTGATTTTGTGAAAAGGGAAGAAAAACATCAAAAGGATTTTTTTTTAATCTATAGTGTCTTTTTTTAACTTGTGCTGTTAATATGAAAGCAACAGTAAATATCCCAAATCAGGAAAAATCAACATCAAAAACAGTCTTTGTCAGAAAACATCCTAATTTAGTCTAGTTTCTGTAATGGTTAATATATGCCTACTTTACACTTGAGAAAAGGTGTATTGAAAACAGCGAAATGTAGACATGTAAAATGAGCGGAATTCATTGTTACTGCAAACATTCAAGTGATCAGAATTATTAAAATACAGGTAGTCCTCAACTTATGACCACAATTGAGCCCAACATTTCTGTTGCTAAGCAAGACAGTTGTTAAGCTGTTAGGACCTTTCTTGCCACAATTGTTCACTGAATCACTGCAGTTGAGTGAATCTGGCTTCCCCATTGACTTTGCTTGTCAGAAGGATGCAAAAGGTGATCACGTGAACCCGGGACACTGCAACCATCATAAATATGAGTCAGTTGCCAAGCATTCCGAATTTTGATCATGTGACCACGGGGAATGCTGCAATGGTCATAAGTGTGTAAAACAGTCATAAGTCACTTTTTTCGGTGCCTTTATAACTCCAAACAGTCACTAAACAAACTGTTGTAAGTCGAGGGCTACCTGTATCTGTAAATGAAGTATTTCATTAGGAACAACTATCAAAGCTGTCAGGAAATGGTTGGACAAAACTTGGAAGATGTTATTTGACTTGGTCTGAAACCAATCTATCATTTGTGAGGTTATCAAATAACTGACTCATCTCTATCAAAGCCATGTTTGGCATTCCTTAAAAGAAGTGGCATATGTGGTTATTTCAATTAATATTGCTGAATCACTTAATATTGTTCAGCTGAATAGTACAAGGTGTAAGATTTGGTGTATTGAAAAGCAATCTTAAATGGCTTCTCATTTCATATTCATCAGTACACTTGGTGAATGTCAGTTAACCACTCTAGTTGCTATTGCATGTAAGTGAAAAGGTATGAGATTTCTGCTTCAAATCCAAATGCAGCAGTAAACATAATTCAGCAACATTTTGTAATACTGTGTTTCCCCAAAAATAAGACTCAGTCTTATTTTTTATTTTATTTTTTGCTTCCAAAAGAGGCACAAGGTCTTATTTTCAGTGGGTCTTTTCCACTCACCTCATGGCGATAGCACCGACAGCCCCGCCCAGCCAGCCCACTTCTGCAGCCAAAGGAACAGCTTCCTTCTGCAGCTGAGAATGGAGCTCGGCCTGCATTTCACAATCAGATGCCTTTCTGGAAAGACCTCTGACTGCAAAATGCAAGCTGGGAGACGCTGCAGAAGAAGTGGGCCAGCAAGGCTAGGTAAATGTCAATCCACGGGAGGTCTAGCTCCACCCACCCCTCACCCCCAACCTAGCTTGATTTTTAGGTGTGTGCCTCACCCAAAACTAGAGCTCATTTGTGGGGTAGGATTTATTATTAGGCCCACCCCCAAAACTCAAGCTAGGGCTTATTTTGGGGTAGGTCTTACTTTGGGAAAACATTGTAGGGTATTTCTTATGCTCGTGAAATTCCATCTTTTTAGAAAAATGATCAGGTGAATTTTAATGCAAGGTTGTTGTACCAACTGTCTTTTATATGTTGTACTTATGAAAGATTTGTCTTTTTCTTGTCTGCTTCATACCTTAATACATGGAATAACACCACCCACTGGTAAGAGCAGGAGGTATTTATATCCAATTTTATTCCAGTGTAAAATTGAATATCCCATGTTAACTGTTGAGATTAAATTTATTTTAATGATTTCTCTTTCAAATAGTTTTTTTTTTTTCTTCCTTATTTAGCAATGTGATTGATAAATTGAAGGGCAAAATCAGGTTTGGGCAACCAAAAAAAAAAAAAGAATGAAAAGAAAACTGAAATTGAAAAATATTTTGAAGATGCCATATTCATGGTCTATGGTTTAGCCCCACAATTCTGAATAAAGCCATCATGCCTATCACTTTATGCTTTTGGTTGTGTTAGTGTTTTTTTCACTCTCACTATGTGCATGTTAGTAGCAAACATTTAAAAAAAAATTCTCTTAGATCCATATGCAGATGATTTGAATTCACATGTTCTGTGAATCATTTGAGCATGCATTATAATTAATCGTGAAGAATCTCTCACCTGTCACCAGTAGCAATTAGCAGACTTTCTGAGGTTCAGAGAGGATCACTTGACTAGCCTGAGATGTTTGTGACTAGGATGAATTATAAAAACTGAGTGCAGACTTGTTTAAAAAAAAATAGTTCCTGCTGTGAAAAGCTAATGCATGCTTTGTGTAATTATATTCACTGTTAATATTATGAAGAGTTATTTAAAATGTTTTTTAAAGTGTTAATGTTAATACATTGGAATATTTTTTTTTAAAAGGAATAAAATACCGGGATAGGTACAACAGCTTTATGAAAATAAAGCCTTATGATATAGTTATTGAAAACAGACAAGTTAATATTTTTTCCTTACTTTATTCCAAATGGCTAATCTATCAAAAGAACTGAAATAGGCTTAGAATATAATTATTTTTAAACATTTTTTTACTTTATTTCTCCTCTCCTTTTCTTTCGTTGTACATTTTAATGTAGAACACACTTTTCAAAGATCGTGCTACTGATAATATTATGTGCAATGTTTGAACAAACATGATTTGGGATTTACTTTAATCACAATTCAAATTCTGAAAAAGAACACATTTTTATATTTTCTCTTGGAGGACCACTAGTGATTAGATGAACTGCCAGATGACAGATGGAAAACAAGTGTCCCCATCTTCAAAATAAAGAGAGAATCCAGAGAGGAATTAGAGTCATTCAGT